GATGTTTACCAATCCGTTGTAATTATAATTTTCATTTCTTTTCGTAGGAGTGAGCTTGGGCATCTCTTCATAGATTTAAAGGTATTTGTGGTTCTTGTTTTGTGGGGGGGGGGGTTCCTCTGTTCATGTCCTTTATTCATTTTCTATTGGGTTGCTGTACTTCTCATGGAGTTCTAGGAACTCTTTACAGATTAGCCTTTTGTTTTAGGGTTTGGGTTTTGTTTTTTTTTTTTTTGCCTTTTTTCCTAGCTTTTTTTTAAAAAAAAAAGTGTATTTATTTTTGAGAGAGAGAGATACAGGGAGGGGCAGAGAGAGAGGGAGACAGAGACTCCCAAGCAGGCTCCGCACAGGCAACACAGAGCCCCCCACGCAGGGCTTGAACTCATAAATGGTGAGATGAACTGAACCCAAGTGTCAGACGCTTAACCAACTGAGTCACCCAGGTGCCTCTAGTTTTTTTTTTTTTTTTCTCCTCCCTAAGTGAGAGCGATTTGAACAGTTGTGATGTGCGTATCTATTCAAGTTTCCAAGCTCTGGTATACGACAAACCCTGTCCTAGGCATTGGCGACACAGTGGCGAGCAAGGCAAGACAAAAGTCTCTCCCTTCGTGGCGATTTCGTTCCAGTGAAGGAGACAAACAATGTCGAGAAGTAGGAGAATCTAGAGGATGTTAGAAGTTGAGAAGTGTCACGGAGAAAAGTGATGCAAGGAGGGAGGCAGAGGGAGTGTGGCAGGGGAGGGTTTGGAATTTTAAATAGGGTAGCCAGGGCAGGCCTCCTCAAGGAGGCGACATTTGAACTTTCAAACAGCATGTCTCCTGCAGTCTGGAACAGTTCTTCAGTCTTCCCTCGACCTTCATGACCTTGATGCTTTTGAAGATGACGAGCCAGGAATTTTGTAGCGTGTCTCTCCGCGGGGTTTTGTCCGATGTCTCCTCATGGTTCAATTCCAGTTCTGTATTCAGGGAGGGAACAGCACAGCAGTGACTCGGACTCCTTACTTCATGCTATCAGATGGCTCATAATTTTAATACTGATCATGTTTGCTTTGCTCCTTTTATTAACGTGGTACCTGCCAGGTTTCCTTACCCTAAAGATACACCTTTTCCCTTTGGAATGAACTAACATGTATTCTGTAGCCAGATACTTTGAATCTATGTAGATATCTTGTTCCCTCATCAAAGTCTAACTGACCTGACCAACAGACTGACTGCTAGTGTAAACACTAGTTTTAGCATGTATTTATTTTCTAATTCCATCATTGTTGACAATTATTATTATCAGTTGACATTCTACTGTAAAAATATTTCCCTTCTCCGTTTATTTACTCTTTCACCCATTCATTTATATAAGTATGATTCATGGTTTCTTGAGCCTTATCAAGTGCTTTTTCTGTGGTTGATTACTATGTGTGTTTACTTTGGGTCCATTAACGTAGAGAACTACATTTATAGCTTTTTTTTTTTTTTTTTCTGAGAGAGAGAGACAGCATGAGCAGGGGAGGGTCAGAGAGAGAGGGAGACACAGAATCTGAAGCAGGCTCCAGGCTCTGAGCTGTCAGCACAGAACCCGACGTGGGGCTCGAACTCACGAACCGCGAGATCATGACCTGAGCTGAAGTCGGATGCTTAACCAACTGAGCCACCCAGGCGCGCCCCCATTTATAGCTTTTCTGATGTGGACCCAATCTTTGCATTCCTGGGATAAATTCTACTTGATCAAAACAGGTTTGCTAAATATACTATTGGATTCATTTGGCTAAGATTTTGTTACGGATTTTGACATCTACAGATGGAAGTGAAATGGGCTTGAAATGTTCTTGTACTGTCTCCTCTGTTTCAGGGTTAGAGATTACACTAGTTTGATGAAATAGACAGCTTTTATTTTTTTTCTAATACCTGGAACAACTTTTAGAAGATAGCAGTTAACGATTCCTTGGGAGATGGGTGACTCACACCTATAAAAACCATCTGGGGGATGCCTGGGTGGCTCCTTCGGTTAGGCGTCCGACTCTTGACTTGTGGTTCAAGTCATGATCCCATGGTTCGTGGGGCTCTGCGCTGACAGCTCAGAGCCTGGAGCCTGCTTGGGATTCTTTCCCTCTCTTTCTGCCTCTCTCCCCACCTCCCGGCTCATACCCTTTCCCTCTCTAAAAATAAATCAACTTTAAAAAAAACATTTGGGGCCTTTTTTGGGTGGGGAGAGGAAAGCTTTTGACTACTGTTTTAATTCACTACTTTTTGCTCTATTAATCTGTTTCTTCATGGAATGGTTTTGGCATTTTGTATTTTTCTAGGAATGTATTCATTTCATCTAGATTTTCAGGTATGTGTTCATTATTTTTAAAAGTTCTGTTGCAACTGTATTAATAAGTTCCCACCTTTAATTCTGTATTTGGTATGTTTGCCTTTTCTGTCTTAATTGATCAATCTTGGCAGAGGATCTGTCCTTCCTCCTAATTTTTGTTTCAAAGAGTGTGCCTTTGGGGCGCCTGGGTGGCTCAGTCAGTTAAGCGGCCAACTTTGGCTCAGGTTATGATCTCACAGGTTGTGGGTTCGAGCCCTGCGTTGGGCTCTGTGCTGACAGCTAGCTCAGAGCCCGGAGCCGGTTTCAGATTCTGTGTCTCCCTCTCTCTCTGATCCTGCCCTGCTCACGTTGTCTCTATCTCTCTCTCAAAAATAAATAAACCATTAAAAAAAAAAAAGAGTCTGCCTTTGATTTTACAAACGTTGCTTTTCCCTATGTTCTCCATTTCTGCTCATTATATCCTTGCTTCTTATTGAGGTTTGCTCTAATTGTCTTTTTCCAACTTTGGGTATAATGTACATATGAGAAAATGCTCAGATTTTAATTGTACAGGTTGAATTTTTACCAAAGCATACACCTATGTATATGACCAGTACCCCAGTCAAGATCTAGAACCTTTTTATTATTCCAGAAAGCTACCTTGCAACCCTTTCTAGTGGACACCCTCCCCACTTCTACCCTACTCTATCACCAAAATGTGTTAAGGATTTTATTTTTATGTTTTTTTTTTAATGTTTATTTGTTTTTGAGAGACAGAGACATAGAGTGCGAGCAGGGGAGGGCAGAGAGAAGCGGGAGACACAGAATCCAAAGCAGGTTCCAGGCTCTGAGCTGTCAGCAGAGCCCGATGTGGGGCTCAAACCCACAAACCGTGAGATCATGACTTGAGCCAGTCGGATGCTCAACTGACTGAGCAACCCAGGTGCCCCAATCTGTTTATTTTTTTTTTAAGTTTTGAGAGAGAGGGAGAGAGAGAGAGAGAGAGAGCAGAGGAGGGGGGAATGGATGGTCCGAAGTGCGCTCCGTGCTGACAGCAGCGAGCCCAATGCGGGGCTCAAACTCATGAACCGTGAGATCATGACCTAAGCCAAAGTCAGACACTCAACCGAGCCTCCCAGGTGCCCCTTAAAGATTTTAAAGTAATCTTGTCACCCAACATGGGGTTCGAACTTACAACCTTCAGAGCAAAGAGTTGCATGCTCTACCGACTGAGCCAGCCAGGCACCCCACCAAAACGTGTTTTGATTGAGAACTTCACATAAACGGAATCATATATAGTGTCTTTTTTGTGTATCTTTTTTCATTCGTTTTTGAGATTCATTCATGTTGATCTTGGTAACAGTATTTTGTTCCTTTTATTCCTGAATTGTAGTCCATTGTTATGAATAGACCATAACTTATCCATTCGCCTCTTGTCGGATGTTTGGGTTCCCAGTTTTCGGCTGTGGTGAACACAGCTGCATTCCGTGTACACATAACAAGTCTTTGTGTTGACTATGTTTGCATTATTTGGGGTAACTATCTAAGAATGGCATGGCTGGGTCATAGGGTTAAATGTATGTTTACCTTTATATGAAACAGCAAAACAGTTTTCCAGAGTGGCTGTACCATTAACTACTGCCAACCATGTACAAGGCCTCCTTGTCGTGGGGTTCCAGAGCCCTGGGGGGTGGGAAGAGAGAAGGTAACATGTGGGTGCCTCCAGACTGAGGGCCACCCATCCTGACACGGGTTCTCTCAGGTGGCCTCTTTCTATTCCTATTTCCTGTCCCTCTGCCCTCCCCCGCACGCTCCTTCCTCAGTCCCCTGGGCAGCCTCCCCCCCCACCCAGGGCAGCACCATTGTCACCTCGAGGGGACCCCTTCTTTCTCACCTGGCCTCCTACAGCTGGTGCTGGGAGACGTCCCCTTGCTGGCCAGTGAGTGGGGGGAGGGGCTTTGTGCAGCTTGGTCTTCCCTTCCCCCCCTTGCCCCTTTCACCTTCTGGATTCATAAGCATGTGTTTGGGGGAGGGGCGGTCCCCGGCCCCGTTTCTGGTGCACAGCCCTCTAAGGCCAGGAGAGGGCAGCCCCAGCCTCGTGTGCCACTGCACCCAGCCCTGTGCTGAGCCCACGCACACGTACTTGGGAACCACAGGGTGCAGACTGGCCCATGGTGACCAGAGGGGCGGGTGCTACGCTAACAGACATGGAGAGCATGGGAATGAGCCCAAGTGGTCCTGATGGGGCAGCTGTGGGACCTGGGACTGGCAGGCTGAGCTTGCTGCCTCCACCCCTCTGGGGCCATCTGTCTGTCCACTGAGGGCGCGGCGGCGACTGGTGCCAGAGTGCCCACGGTCGTCCACTTGGAGATGCCCTTGGACAGTCAAATGCAGTTGAGGTTTAGCCCCGCGATCGCACAGGGGATGCAGCTGCTGGGGGGCAAGGCCAGCGGGTGGGAGGTTCCCAGTGCTGGTGGGTTTCCTGGTATATCGAGACCTGCTGGATTTGATGATGGTGAGGGGGCTGTGACCAGGATCTCGTGGGCTGGGGCACAGGCCAGAACTTCACGTTCAGTCCCCACGCACCAGACACTGAGAGTGCCAGCACTGCCACCCACCTCAGCCCGAACAGGCCCCTCGTCCACCTGCGTTTAGGCCCCTGTGTCTGCGCGGGTCACAATCCGTGCTGGCGCATGAGAAAGAGACGTGCGAGCTACAGACTTTTCAGCTTTTATTACAAAAAGAAGAGCATGATCCCAGCCCAGCTTTCCAACAAAAGCCACCACCTTAAAGTCTGACTTGGTCAGGGCCTCTCTGGCTGGGGACAGGCTGGCAGACAGGTGCAGGGCCCCACTCAGACCACCCACCACTTCACCCTTTCCTGCCCCGGGCTGGACACCCGACACATGAAGAAGCAGCTCTCGCAGCTGCTCACTGGGCCTCGTTGAAGCGGGTCACCATTGTCTTGTGCAGTGTCTCCTTGTAGGACTCGGTTGAGGTGACCCCGTAGGAGCTGCCTCGGGCACCCAAGCCGGAGCCCCGCACCCGCGTCTGGGCCTACGTGAGGGAGGCAGGCTGTCAGGTCAGCGGCGGGATGGGGGTGCAGCAGAGAGTGCCGGAAGACGGGGACGGCCTCGCAGAAGACTCACCTCAATGGGCGTCACGATGCCCTGCTTCTTCCGGCCCAGGCCACTGCCCTCTTTCCAGCCCATGGCCTGGAGCATTCGACTGCCGATGTTGTCACTGCCCAGCCCGTCCCGCGTGGGCTGCTCAAAGTCCCTGCAGGGGCCAGCGGTACCATGTGAGCAGAGTGAGCAGGCTGCTGGCCCCGGCCCCACGCCTCGGTGCTGGGCACTTACACGGAAGCTGCAGACATGCCGCCGTACTTCCTCCGCTTGGGCTCTGGTGGCTCAGGGATGCCGTACTTCTCTCTGCGCTCAGCTGCACGGTCCCGGTACTTCATTTGCTGAAAACGTGTGTGCGTGTGCGTGTGCATGTGCGTGAGGACGGGGGAACTGGTGGCTACTTGCAGGAGACGTAGGGGCCCCATGGGAGCTGGCTCTGGCTAACAGGTCTGAAGTCCTGTGGGCAGGACACCGTGGGTGCGAGCAGCCAGCATGGGGGGAGCCGGGAAGAAGCCTCGCAGGGACAGGAGGCGACACGGCTGATGGCAGCCAGGCAGTATGCGGCTCGGGGACTTGGGCAGCAGCTGCCTGAAGGGACAGGCACGTGGCAAGGGACAGAGGGGATGGAGTCCAGGAGTGGGTTGCAACTCACCTCCATGTCGTTCTTCTCCAGCGCTTCCAGCTCATTCTCTGACAGGTGCGCTCGCCGGTGAATCTCAAGGTTTTGCTGCAAGGGGACAGACAGGAGGAGGCGTGAAGCGGCGGGCCGGGCCGGGCCGGGGTTCCCAGCCGATCCTCCCTCAGTCACCTTGTGTAGCCCGGAGAGCTGCTGGTGGCGGATGAGCGCCTCCTTGCTGGGGAACTGGCGCCGGCAGAGCAGACAGGCCAGCTTCTGCCAGTCAGTGAGCTTCTCCTCCCGCTCCGGGCCCCCGCGCTCCTGCTCCTCCTCGCTGTCACTCTCCCCGCTGTAGGCTGCCACGAGGCCCCGAGGCGGGCTCTGGAGAACATGAGCATAGTGGTGGGAGGTCAGGCCTGGACAGACCCGGGGTCCCCGTGCCCCCACTCCCCGCCCCTCCTCCTGCCCTGGCCACTCACTGGGCGGTCATCACTGGCCAGTTTCGGGAGGTCCATGCCGGTGTGCTGTCTCTCAGCTAGCGCTCCCTGGGGTAGACGGACATATTCAGTGACTCCACAGAGGGACTGCTGAGATGACAACACTTGGGAGGGTAACAGAGGGGTGAACACAACGCACCTTCTTCTCGAGGATGGCATAGCCAGCATCTGCGGTGGCCGATTCCCGTCTTTCATCGTCTCGCAAGGAGCTGATGGGCTGGAAGCTGTTCTTGAAGTTTTCTTTTTGCTTGTTGAGGCTGCGGGCCCAGCGCTCCATGTCCTTGGCAATCTAGGGGGAAGGGTGGGGGTGAGGCTCTCAGGGACCCTCCAACTGCTGTAACCATCAACTCCGTCCACTGTCCCTTCCTACCCTGCAGCTTCAAGCAAGAAGTGAGGAGGCAGCTGTGAAAGTCCCCACTCCTCGTCATTCTATCATCAATGGCCCCCATCAAGCCCTCTTGGGCCATGGCCCCCATTCCCCGGACAGGCACTCTCACGATGCCGCTCTCCGTGGGCTTTTGTATCACCTTCCCCTTCTACAAGGCACACATGGCTTTCTCTGGGTGGGACTTTAACATACACACGGGATACTCTGCCACACTCCACATTCTGTTCCCCCCAGGCATGACAGCAGCTTTAGAATTTACCAGGTTGTCAACAAATGCTTAGCTCTTACGTAGCACTTAGTTCGGCACTAAGCGCCGCACCCAGACCGTCATACTCTTCCTCCACAGACAGACACTGAGGTTCCCTCTAACTGCCCACTCCCACCGAACGCTGCAGTGGCCGCTTTCCCGCCCGCAGCCGGAGGGGCCCGTGAGCAGCTCTCTGGGATAGCCAACCCAGACACATACTCATGAGCGGGGCTCTAGGCCCAAAGGAGGTCTGCCTGCCCACGCGTTTCCACAAGCAGGGGTGGCCTGGCTTTAGGCACGCGGGCAACATGAGGGGTCCCACTGGGGGACGGGAAAGCTGACCGGGCTCACTTGGATGGACGGCACTGGCCACGCAGGGGGACTGAGGAGACTGCCGTGGCTCGAGGTCACGCGGCAGAGAGAACTGGGCCAGGAGCCTGGTCTCTCTTAAGCACGATCACTGCCACCACGCATACGTCTGCCCTCCTCCCACCGCAGCGGAAGGCTGAAGAGGATAGAAATGATTCTTCATTGGAAGACACCGAACAGCCAGCCAGTGACCGCTGGCCCCCCCAGCGCTCACCTGTTGGGCTGTCTTGGTCTTGTGCTTCTCCTTCTTCTCTTTACCCTCTTTCGAGGGGGCCCCTGTCTCCTTATGCCCGTCGGCCGACTGTTCCAAGGCAGGGATGTAGGTCCGCCTCTCCCCATCCCAGTACAGGTACTGCTGGCTCTGAGCGTTGTAATAATACTGGGGGAGGGGCAACGGAAAGGCATGAGGGAAGACCTTAAGGAGGGGAACCACAGACCCCACCCACTCCCTGGGCCACCCTATCACCTGGGAGTTGGGGTCATAGTAGAGGCCGGTCTGGGGGTCATAGTAGTAGCCAGATGTCTCGTCGTACTGGTAGGTAGAAACGTCGGGAACAGCTGGGGGCAGGGGGGAGGTGAGAAAGGAGGGGGTCACATTCCTCTGTCCTTTGTTAAGGACCTCCCCGGCCTCCCGCCCACAGGCCGTGGCTACTTACGGTACTGGTTGTAGGACTCCTGGGCAGTGGGGCTGGTGGCTGGTGGCAGGGCCGAGCTGGGATGGGTAGGGCTCTGGAGCTCAGATTTGAGCACAGCAGGTGATATGATGGTGTAGGACTAGTCACGGGGCCAGACAGGGGAACAGGGCTCAGTGTCTGCCAGTACCCCCAAGACCCCCCCTCCGCCTCCCCCCCAGGACACCCCGGGCTCCCTCACCTGGCTGTTGGCAGCGGCGCCCTGGCTGCCGCTCGCCTCGGCTGATTGCTGGTAGATGCCAGGTGCGGCACCGGGCTGGACACGGGAGAAAGCCTGCAGTGACACAGAGTCTGTCCCAGGCTCCAGGGAGGCCTCAGGGCCTGTAAAGAGGGACAGGGAAGGAGGGAGAATACCTGTTACTGGTGGGGCCCAGGACCCCATGCCCGTTGACCCCCCCCGCCCCCCCCCCCCCCCGGCTCAGGGAGAGATGCCAGGAGCTCACCTGCTCCAGCCGGGTCCCCTTTGGTTCCAGCGATGCCAGGGCCCTTGGTGCCCTTGAGGTAGCCATGGGCATAGAGGGAGGACTCTGAGCCCTGGCTGCCGCCATAGCCCTCATCCTGTTGGTAGTAGCTGTAGTCGACCGGTGGCTCCTCGGGGGTGGCCCAGGCACCCTCCCCACCCTGGGAGGCCTGAGGGGCAGTGGGAGGGGCTCGTTAGCAGAGGAAGGGGCGCAGGGGGGAGGGGAACCTGCTAGGAAGCATCTGCCCACAGGTGAGGCTTGTGTCTGTCTGCCGACAGAAAGCATGCAGGCCTCAGACAAGAGACGTGTGAGGGCCACCTGGCCACTGCAGGGCAGGACAGTGGCAAAAACAAGAAAGGAACGAAGACTTGTGCCAAAGTGCTCCCACGGCTGACACTGGTACGTGTGTGGTGTGGCTCGTGTGCTGGGTATCAGATCAAGGACGACACCGTCCTCCCCTTCTTTATTCTCCTCTCCCAATTTTCTTTCAGCCACTTATAAATTCCATTCCATTAAAGAGGTTGAAACAATTCAGGACGATAAAATAACCACCAAACAGAAGCGAAAAGCAGCCGCGACTGTGTTGAAGTTGGAAGCCTGGGAGGAGGTGACCGGGAAGGGAGCCGCAGCGAGGCGCCCAAGGCCCACAGCAGCCACTGTGACGGGGTTTGGGGTCCACGGAAAGCCAAAACAGCAAGCCAGCCCTCCAGGTTGTGCACAGAGGGCGCAGGAGGGTCGAGGTGGCCCCGGTACGGGGGTGCTGGGGCAGAGGGGAGTCTTTGAGTACCTGTGAGATGGCCCACTGGGCCGCAGCAATGGCAGTGCTGGCCACAGAGGCAGCATTGATGCGGCTGCCTTCGTTGGAGGCCATGTCCCTGGGGAGAATGTCAGACACAGGGCGTGAGATGCGGGGCCCCAGGCTAGGGGGCCAGCTGGGAAAGGACACAGGCGGGACCCTGACCTCTTAGAACCCTTGGCGAACTCAACGTTGATGGTCTTGCCGTCGATGGTGAGCGGCGGGTGCAGGGCCTGTAGAATCTGCAGTAGCTGGGCTGCTTCCTGGGGGAGGAAGGGGGAGGCGGGGGCAGAAGGGTCAGGCCCGGGGAGGTCCCCGGCTCCACTGCCCCGTTTCCAGGCTCGGAGCCGCAGCGGAGGGGGGGCTGGGCTCAGGGTCCCTCCTCCCTGCCCCGGGGGCCGGGACCCTGGCCGCCCGGCCCCCCCCTGTGCCGCCCTCACCACGATGGTGGAGAGCTGGATGAAGGCGAAGCCGCGGTTCAGTTGGGTTTGCTTGTCCTTGATGACGCGTACATTGGAAGAGGACAGCACCGCATAGGGTGCCAGGGCCCCCAGGATGGAGTCCATGGTGCTGTGTGGGTTCAGGTTGCGCAAAATGATGGCTGCGAAAAGGGGCCCAGCATTAGGGGGCACTCCTGACACTCTGCTCCGGCCCTACCCCCTGGTGGCTCCCCACCGTCCCTCTTCTCTGCCTTCCATGTCTTTGCACCTGCTGCTTCCTCTCACCTCTTCCTCCTGGATAAACTCTGCTTGTCAGTCCAAGTCCCAGCTCGGTCACGCACCTGCCGAGAACCTTCCCAACACACCCCCAAAGTCGAGTTGGGCGACGCTCCTATCCTGCTCTCCCTACATCACATGTCTGTCCCCTCACCGGGCAGAGAGACCCTGGGAGGGCTAAGTCCTGGTCACCGCAACCTCTCTGGGCTCGGAGAACCCAGCCCAGACGGATACCCTAGGGCAGGGCGAAAGGAAGGGAACAAGTGACTCACTGTCATTGGCGTTCTCCGAGCTTGGCTCCGAGCCCTGTGACAGGGCTTGGGAGGCCAGCACTCCCTGGGCCTGGTAGGGCTGAGGCAGGGGGAGCAGGCCCTGGCTGAGCTCCCGTCCACCCAGCGGCAGCGTCTGCTGATCCAGCCTTGCACCCAGGGGCAGCTTCTGCTCCGCTTCTGTCAGGGACGGCAGGAAGACAGGCTGGTGACAAGGTGGGGGGCTCCAAGGCTGGCCCCCCTCCTCCCAGGGCACCGGGCCCTCCCCCTCATCCCTTTAGCCACCAACGTCCCAGGGAGGTGGGGAGGCAGGAGGGCCTCACCTGACTTGGGCACGCCACATTTGAAGCACTTCTCTCGGCGTTTGAAGTTCTGGACGCCACACTGTGAGGCACAGGCCAGGCCATCAGAGCAGGTGGGGCTCTCCACTGTACCCTCCAAACTTGGATCCAGAGACCCCCCTCCCACCCCGGGGAACCCCGCAGTGCTCTGGGAAGGAAGGTCCCAGGGTCAAGGCTGGCAGGGGGCTCCGGCTATCATTCTCAGTCTGTGAATCTTCCCTTTACACGGTCTCAAGTCTGTCCTGAGTGCCACCCCCTCAACTCAGGAATCAACTCCCCCACCCGTTTACAAGTGCCACTCCCTCCTCGTCCCTTTAGCAGGTTCCTCTTCCTAAAGCTGGCTTCCCTGTTAAGATACCTTCAGTGTCTCCACCCTGAAAGCCAGTGGCCACTCTCGTCAGACTCTCATTCCTCGTTTAACTCGAGGACTGGGTCGGTACTCTTGAGAAACCAGCCTCGGACATCCCAGCCTCCAGAAACCCCCAGCTTCTACCACGTTTCTCTCTCTGTTCCACGGTCACGTAGTGCGCACTGCCCCATATGTGAGGGTGTGGCCTCGTGGCCTAACAGCAGGGGGCGGATGCAGCACAGGGAGGCAGGTTAGTCTGGAGGGGAAGGGGCCAGGAAGGGTGTGGCTCACTCAGCTGGGGACAGTTGGCTGGGACGTTTGGTCTGGGACACCCAGGGCTTTGCTTCAGTTTCGTTGGGAAGCTACTGCTAGCAAAGGGCACGAGAGGTTTTCTGTAGCTAGTGTGTGAGGATGAGGCAAGACTCCAGCCGAAGCTGGAGAGGGCAGGTGAAGCTAGCTTCTAGAGGGTGGTCACGCTGCTGAAGTTCAGAGTGGACAGGGTGCTGAGCAGAGAAAGAGGGGTGTGGTTAGAGGTGGTTCCAAGGAATGTCACAGATGACAGGGTGAGAGAAAGCGGCAAGGCCACAACAGCAGAAGAGGGGTCCACGGCGGGACGGAGTGCATGACGCCTGGTCTGGGCTGTGGGAACTGCAAGGGAGGGCATTTGTGCGATGGAAGTGACAGGGCCTGGTGACCAATGGGATGTGGGGAACAGAGGAGAAGGGAGGGAGTTCCCTGCTTTTGAGGAGTATCTGAAAATATAGGAGGGACACAGTGCCACTGTCGCTTTGTCCCTACGTCTGCAGAGACACCGGACACCTGGCCTTCCAATAACACTTTTTCTTTTTAAACCAACCGGTGCCACTCCCCTTAGTAGGCAGAGTTCGTCTCAGAGAGAGTTGGGGCATCTGCCAGCTCTCAGGAGCACTGGCTGGCCGTGGGGGCTGGGGCTGTGGAGTCTCGAGGCCGCCTCAGAGCTGCCTGTGAGGCTGGCCCCAGGGGAGACCTGAACCCAGGGTGGCATCCCTGGCCCCTGCGACCAGGAGCAAGTCAATGACTCCAGGCTCACCCGCGGTGGTGGCCCTTCGAGCTTCAGCTTCCTCGTAGGGAGTACAAGTGCAAGACCCTGACCTCAGGTGGGTGTGGCCTTGTCGGAGGAGCCCATCAAGGCCAGGTCACCTGACTAGGGCTCTCACCATGCCCTATGCTTTCTTGGGGGCGGGGGCGGGGGCGGGCAGACATTAAAGGGTGCTAACCGCGGGTCCGGGTCAAGTGGCATTCCAAGTGTCACCCTCTCATCACCACACTGGAACCCTCCCAACCACCTCCGGGGAGAGGTGTCATCGCTCTTCGCATTTTAGAGATGAGGAAAGTGAGGCAGAGATCAAGGAGGATTGGGAGGGTCTAATTCCAGCCAGTCTGGCTCAGAAGTCCACATTCTGACACACCAGTGGAGTCGTGCCTCCACTGTCACTAGTTGGTCCCTTACATAAACATCTGTTGAAAGCCCGCTGGGACTTCAGCCAAGACTGTACTCCTTCAGGGCAGAGCCTGGCGCCGATGAAAGCCCAGTACGCACAGATGGGTGGGCGGGTGGGCAGACGGCAAGGAACGGTGGCTACTTGAGCTCAGCCAGTCCTCAACGCCTATGCCACCCCCAGAGACCCCAGGGAGACGGCCGCCACTGCCGCCGTCTCTATCCGTGGCAACCACTGCCCACCACCCCTGTACCTTATTACACAGCCAGTCCTCATTGATCTTGGGCTTGGGGTCGCTGTAGTGCATGGACACCTTCTGGCCCAGGATGTTGAGGGAGTGCTGCGGGAAAAAGCAGAGCGCAGTGAGGCCCCGGGCAGCAGTGCCCCACGCACCGTTTCAGCACAGGAGAAGAGAGTGAGCGAGCCCTTCAGCTGGATGGATGAGGGACAGGGAACGGAGGGAGGTCGGAGAACGGACGAGGGAAGAAGGAAGGGAAGGAGGGAGGGAAAGCGCCACAGCCCTCGGGCGCAGCTCTTTGCTGCCTTTCCGGGCACGCGCACGCACACGTGAACACACGCCACCAGGCACACAGTGCTCGGCTGACCGACGCTTGCCGGACAGTGGGGGAAAACCCCCCACTCGGCCCTGATGCTGCCAGGCCACACCCAGGGCCAGCACTACACAGGCTACACTGGGGGGGATGAGGGGGACAGGGAGGGGAGGGAGAGGAGGGGAGAGAAAGAGAGAGAGAGAGAGAGAGAGCGCACGCGCGCTAGTGCTGGAGAAGGGGAGAAAGAAAAGAGCCATATTTAAAAGATGGAAGTTCCTGCTGTGAGGCTGTCTTCCTGGGGCTGGCTGGGCCCTAGGCCTACGGCACGAGGGCAGAGATGGCCCCACGGCCGCCCTGCGGAACCCCGCTTCCACCACACCTGCCCCTTCCTCCCCTGAGGCTTTCCTTCAGTGCCCCACACCAGTGAGCCGGGCTCTGGGTGAGTGAGCAGAGCAGGTCTTTGGGTCTCTGAAGGTCCCAAAGCTGCCAGATGGGAGACCGTGCCAGGCGGGGGAGCAGGCTCCCTTCCCTTCTCTAGAGCAGGGCTCTCTGCTGAAAAGTCGTGTCTGCCAGCAGTGGGATAGGCAGGCGGTGACTTCCGTGGCCAGGGAGGGGGGGCAGGGGGGGCCCCGGAACACCTGAGGTGAGTCCTATCACATCTGACTGCTACTTCAGACCAACAGAGCAGTGCTGGCCTCTCACACGGAAATCAAAAGGCCGAACTCACACGCAGGGAGAGAGCTGGCCAAACGGGACTTGCTACTTAGTGTGCCAACAGCCAGGTCCCCCAGTGACTAGACTTCCGGTGGTGCCTGAGAGCAGAACAAAGTCCTTGGCTCTGCCTAACCCCCTCCCCCTGAAGCAGGGTGGTCCCTGGGGAGTGGGAGCCTTGGTGGAAGAACCTCCCCCCTCCCCCCAGCAGCCCTGTCTCCAAAAGCTCGGCTGGGAAGTGGAGGGGCAGAGCTAGTGTCTGGTAGGAAGGGGCCAGTGGTGAGTGTGGGTTCTCGATGGGAAGCCCAGTGGGTAGCAAGAGATGGGAAGAGGAGATAGTGAGGGTCAGGAAGGGGGAGAGAGAGAGAGGGGGCGGGGAGGGGGGATGGGACACAGGGCCACAGGGCAGGGAACTGTGTCCATAAGAATCAGGCGATGGGGAGCGCTCGATTACAAAGTAGTATTTGTTTGGGGGGGGGTTCAAGTGCGGCAAAGCAACCTGATTGGCTTCCATCCATCGTGTAGCGTCCTGCAAGTGACTAAACTCGACGAAGGCGAAGCCCCGGCTCTGACCTGGAGACAGCATTCAGATACAGACGCAGTGGGTTAGTCAACAGCTTTGGACACACGGCGTTCCCGGGGGTGGGACCCGAGGGGAGAGGACCAGGGGGGCAGAGAGGGAAGGGGAGAGAGAAAAGAAGAAAGGGAGAGAGAAAAGTAATCAGAGAGAGAAAGACCAGGGAGTGGGAGGCAAGGTAGATGGCTGGGAGGGGCAGGAAAGAGGGGCAGGGGAGGGAGAGGTGGGGGGGAGGGAGAAATAACACACACGCCAACTGGGAAGAAAGACAGAGAGAGGAGCTCAGGCACACCTGCCTGGGGTGACAGAGACAGAGAGAAGGAGCTAGGAGGGCAAGGGCACAAGGAGAGGTCTGTCTCCTGAGAAGGAAGGAGGGCAGCTGGGCAGGCTGTTGGCTCCACACGGGCCAGAATCAGTACCTGAAGGGTGGGGCCCAGCACAAGGCTGGGGTGCCCAGGAGGGGTCCTGTAACAAGTGTTTCATCAAAGAGACAAAAGAGAACCTGGGCCAGGCTGCTCCGTGAGGCGAGGAAGGCCCCAGGCCCCTCAGGAACCAGGGGGAGTTGGGGACACGATGTCACCTCAGCCTCAGCACAGTAAGGGGCTGGGGGCCTCGCCAGGGAGCCTCCCTCAGGGCCAAGCTAGGAAGACTATGGCCACCACAGTGCAAGTCCTCCGAGACAGCAGGAGACTGGGGGGCCAGGATTGGCCTGGTGGCCCTTAAAGAACGAGTGAGGGCCCGGGAGAAGTGCCCAGGGCCACAGAGGGGGCCGCACCTAGGGCCCCGCCTCGTGGAGAGAGAGAGACCAGAACCCTGTCCGCGTGTGGTGTGGCTGAGGTAAAGCAGAGCAAGACCCACATGCCACCGAGAGACCCCAGGCCTGGCCAGGGCTAGGAGGGGGGCCCAGGGCTGGAAGCCGCGGGGCAAGAAGCTCCTCCTTAGGAGGTGCACACACAGGGAGGGCTTAGACGTGGTGGGTTTGGGGGGGAGGTGCTTGACCTCCAGGAGAGTGACTATTAGGATGCACAGGAGGATGAAATGGTATGATTTGGGGTGGGGGAGGGAGGGAGGGAAGGAGGGAGGAAGAGGTGGGCGGGGGAGAGAGAGAGAGAGAGAGAGAGAGAGAGAGAGAGGGAGAGAGAGGAAGAGTGACAAGGGGAGAGAGAGGGAAGGAGGGAGAGAAGGAGAGAGAGAGAGAGAGAGAAAAGAGGGAGGGAGGGAGGGAGGGATGGAGGGATGGGGAAGAGAGAGGCTGAGAGATGGAGAGAGAAGCCCAGGCGGCACCGCACTGTGCCTGCCTTGGGAAGCCTGGGCCAGAGGTCCTGCAGAGACAACCCCCCACCGCCCTGCTAATCTCAGGCCGGCTCCAAGCGGCCTGCAAGAGGGGGGGAGGAACCCATCAAGGCCAGAATCCCGGCTGCTCCTCGGGATGCACCCTCGGACAAGGGCCGTCCCCTGCCTCCCCTCTCTTGGGACACGTGGGTGGGGCCTTGTCAGACCTACTTTCTGGTCACAGGCCATTACCCGAAAAAATGTGAGGGGGACTGAAGGGAAGGGAAGGAAAGGAGAAGAAGGGAGAGGGCAGGGAGTATATGGAGGTGTTACCACCTCAGACACTCAGAATCCCAAAGAGGAGGTTCCCCGGAGCCTGGCCCTGGCCCTGCCCCCGGGGAGCACTCGGCTCAGCGTTGCACCCCCTCCCCAACAGCCCCGGAGCTGTGAGGAGGGCGGGTCGAGGGGAAGAGAAGAAGAGAGGGCACCCCAGGCTGCCCATGGCCAGCCATAGAGGGAAGGCAGGGCAGGGAGGGTGAGGGAGAAGACAGAAGCAGGAGGGAGGCCGGAGGTGGAGGCTGGCCGGCAGAAGGGGAGGCACTGGGAACAAAAGCTCACCTGAGGATTTGTTCCGCATCAGCCGGACCTCCCGCGCTTGCACTCCGTGGGACTGCAGCTGGCCCCGGATCTGTACGGGGAGACACGGATTGGGGCAGGCTCAGCACATGGCGGGGCAGGGCGGGGGGGTGGGGGTGGGGGGGTGAGGGGTGTGGCGGGTGGGGCTGGAAGCCTGCAGGGCCCTGAGGGGCTGTGGGTGGTGCACATGCGCTGCCTCCCCGCGCTCTCTGGGGGGGCTCTCCCCAGATGGGGCCGCAGCCCCACACCAGTGTCCGGCCTGGGCGCAGAGAGGGAGGCAAACGGAAAGGGCATGTTACAAAGTGGGGGCGCAGCAGGACGATGACCCTCAGAGCTCAGAGGCAGAGAGCAACAAGGGAGCGGAGGGAGCGAGCCAGGCCCTTGGGGCTGGCTGCTGGGGAGGTGGGCCCGGGCGGCTCTGGGATCACCCTCTGGCTCACACCAAGACACTCAGGAAGCAAAACACCAAAACGGGAGGGACTGGGGTCTGGCCAGAGCCCAGCCAAGCACCCCGGGCCGTGGGTGGATCGGTACCCTGGGGCCGGAGACAAAAAGGTGCGGTCACAGGGTTTGGAAGGTTCCTGGATGAAGCCAGAGGGAAGCTGCAGAGGCAATCTGGGGTTTGGACCAGGCGAGGCAGGGTCTCTGGGCCAGTGGTGCCCCTTGCAGAAGCCTAGAAGCACGTGCCAGGCATTCTCGGGTGGCGATCTTACAGTCTCTTCAGCAGGTGAAGAAGAAAAGAGCTCGCTCGCTCTCATGCTCTCGCGCGCGCGCGCGCACACACACACACGAGCTCATGAGGACTGCAAATGCTCAAGGAGGGCTCCAGAAACAGCAAGAATGTGGCCTCTGGAATCCAGCTGCCCAGGTCCAGACCCCAAGTCCCTCTGCCACTCGCTGGCCTGCCACTCACGGGGCTGCGGACCTGGAGCAAGCTGCTTCACCGCTGGGCACCTGGCTGCCTCATCCATAGGATGGAAACACAAAGAGCACCTTCCCCGCAGGGGGGCTGTGAGGACTACATGAGGCCGGGCATGTGGCCCACCCTGTGACACATTCCCGACACATGTCAGCACGGAGCTACCGCCTGACCCTGCACAGGGTGGCTGGGCCAGACTGGAAACGCTCCCAAATACACAGGTGGGATTTTCTCTCTGACAAAACGGGCAGCCGGAAGATTTCGGAAGGGAGCTGAGCAGAGAATTCGGCGGGGTCAGAGAGAGAACCGGGGAGGCTAATGATGCTATTCTAGCGGCCCTCGGGCTCTGCTGGGGCTCGTTAGGGAAAGTCTGTATGCGAAGGAAAACGGAAGAAAAGGGAGGAACGGGGAAGGAAAGGTCAGAGAACGGAGCGGGGAGGCTGTCAGGAGCAGCGAAGGGCATCCGAGAACACAGGGCTCCGTGGCCAGGGCACGGAGATCTGACGCTGCTGTGACAAGAGGGCAGGGCTGAGGGTACGGGGACAGAATGGGAATAACACCTCAGAAATTCCCACGGGGACCCACCCTATCCCCAGGACTGCTGGGCCCTACGTCATCTCTGCCACTGGCAATAGCTGGCTCTGGGCCTGGGGAGCATCTGGACCTCAGTCAACACATGCAGAATGGATGGATGACCAGTGGAATGTTTGGGAGGAATGCTTTGTTCCCTCCCACGCTCCACCGCGGCCGCCCCTTGGCCAAGCCAGCCTATCCGACACTCCACCCTGCCCGACCAGGAGAGGACAAGGGCCTGCCCAGAGGACGGATCGGCACTGGGGGAGAGAAGGGATAAAGGGTGCTGAGTTCGGGGCGCGGGAGAAGCTGAGGGCCCTGGAGGAGACCCGGCCTGGCCTCCTGCCCTGCCACCTGCCCAGGGCCATGAGGGGGGCACGTACGTCATCCTCAGTGGCTGCCTGTGGCAGCATCCTCAGCATGACGATGTTACTGGCCTTCTCCTCCTCCTCCTCCTCCTCCTCCTCCTCCTCCTCCTCCCCTTGCTCGGTCCGATAGTCCTGGTCCCGATAGTCGCCGTCTCGGGGGAAGCCTGGCGGGCCAGTGGGGCTGTGCCTGTGCCGCCGCCGCCGCCTACGCTGAGTCTCGGAGCCCGGGGAGGCCTCGTAGGAATCCTGGCCAACAGAATAAGACGAGAGACACCAGACGGGCAGTCAGTCTGGGCTGGGCCTAGGGGCTGGCCGCTGGCTCTCTGAGGCAGGCAGGCTCTGAAAGCCAGGGCTGGGCGGGCTCCGGCTAAAGGCTCAGGGCAGGCAAAACGGGTAAGCCATGGACTGCGATCCTCCTGGGGTGGGAAACTGCCCCCAGGATGCCTTTTGGGGGCTGCTTTGGTGGGGAGTAGGGAGAGGCTGGTGGCAGCACTGCCGTGGGGGAGGAACTCCCACAGGCAGGTGACCGCACACCGCTTACACCCCCTGGGGCCTAGGGTGAGCACACTGAATCCTGCCCTGTCTCCCCCGCTTACTCCCTGGCAGCTCAGCCAGCGTGTGCACAACCGTCCCTCGGCATCTCATGCAGCCGGTGAGCAGGGGCTGGCAAAGGTGTGAGGGCCACAGCCCTGCCCCAAGTCCCGCTCCTCGGCCTGGCCTGTCTTCTATCACCACCGGGCTCCCTCCTAACAGGGTGTGGTCACTGAGTTCCTGGGTGTCGCCTAAGCCATCCTTCCAGCACTAAGCAGGCCAGGGTCCACACCCCTTCTGCCCTCGGGGGAACCAGATAACTCAGCGCTCCACTCCCACTCTTCCCAAAGGGGCTGCCCAGGGACCCCTGGTGCCCTGGAGACATCCGGGCACATCTCACAGCGGCCACTGGGGAAAACCAGCTGCCCACCAGAGTTCTTTGCACTAGACCCTCCCAGAAGGCAGCTGGTGGCTCACACTCTGTCCTCCAGGGCTGGCTTGCGACAGTACCCTTCCCGGCCTGCCGGAGAGGAGACCTGCCTGTTTGCTTGGACCTGGGCCCGGATGGACTGTCCTCTCAAACTGGGGCTCCCCTAAGGCAAGGCTGCTTCCTCTCCTCAGATGGTGAACATCATGCCTCCCGTCCTCAGGCTAGGGCTAACTACCCAACGTGGAACCTGCTACCCCCTCAGCTCAAAGGACGGGCCCCAGAGGGTCTTTGCCTTTTGTGCAGGGGCTCTGCTGCCTCTGGGAATGCCCCTGGCTGGCCTCCCAGGACTGCACTGTCTGGTGATACCCAGCTTCCCCATGGCCCTCCCAACCCCAGAGGCTGGGTCCCATGCAAGAGGCTGTTCAAGGGCCCCAACCTGGCCGGGAGCAGGCGGCAAAGGGCTTGCAGTGAACCGTGGACCCAAATGAACAACAGGGAAGAAGGGAGAGAGGTGACGGCCAGGGGCCCTCAGAAGTATAGAGCCAAGCACGTGGATGTCAGGGAGACCCAACTCGGGAGAGAAGCCCTCAGAGAGGGGAGCAGGGACAGACCCTCCAGGTGAGGCACAGCCAGCGAGCACAGTCTGAAAGTATGGGAGCCGAGAGCTACCTGCACGTGGTGCTACAACCAGAGGCCCCGCGGGCGCCTGTCCTCCTCAGCCCTCACCTCTGCGCTCTGCTCCTCAGACGAGTCGTCGTAGTCGTGCTTGCCCTCCTGGCTACCGTACTCGCGGGGGTACGAGCGGTAGTCCATGTCCCGGTAGTCATGGTCGCGGCTGCGGTTCTCCCCGCCATCGTCCTGCGAACGGTCGGTGGCTCCATAGCGGCCGGTCCTGTCCCCGCGACCGCCTCTGGGGGAACAAGGATGGGGAGGGATTAGAGAGCAGTCCTTTCTGAAAGGTGCAAGAGGTGAGGGGGGCTCCCACCCACTCACTCGCTTTAGATTCTTAGATCCCACTCCCGACAGGGGCCCCTGAATCCTGACTCCGCGGCAAGGGGAGCTGGCCCCCGCCTCTCAAACCCAATCCACTTCTGCTTCCCTCGACCACCTCCCCCACCCAGTCCATAACCGGCTTCCTTCCCAGGGCCCTCGGGCGCGGCCTCGGGGCTAGTCTCACCTCCACCAGGCCTCTCCCAGCTCACTCTCTACACCCCAAGTGTAAGCAACAGTTCCAAAGGCAAAGCCAATCAAGCCCAACCATCGCACCCCCTCCAATGGCTCCCTCTTCTTTTCCACAATGCTCACCCAGGTCCTGCAAAGTCTGCAGGATATGGGGGGTGAGGTCTCTACTGACCTCTCTTGCTCCCACCCCTCCCCCCATGTTGTGTCGTGCTACCTTGCCCCTCTGTTTCACGGTCACCCCGTTAGCACTGGCAGCCGTTCTGTTGAAATTTCTCCTACCGCGATTACTATAAGACAATTACCTCAAAGGTGATTTCATGTGCATTTCTTTTTTCTTAAAGATCTCATTTTTAAGTAATGTCTACATCCAACACGGGGCTTGAACTTATAACCCTGCGATCAAGAGTTGCATGCTCCTCTGGGGCGCCCGGGTAGCTCAGTCAGTTAAGTGTCCAACTTCAGCCCAGGTCATGATCTCGTGGTTCATGAGTTCGAGCCCCGCATCAAACTCTGTGCTGACAGCTCAGAGCCTAGAGCCTGCTTCAGATTCTGTGTCTCCCTCTCTCTCTCTCTGCCCCTCCCCTGCTCACACTCTCTCTCTCTCTCTCTCAAAAATAAACATTAAAAAAAATCTTTAAAAACCAACATTAAAAAAGAGTCACATGCTCTGCCACCTGAGCCAGCCAGGCGCCCCTCATGTGCATTTCTTGATGACTTAAAGAAGCACTACACTGTGGGTTGGGACAACACCTAGAGGGTCCCCTGCCCTAGTTCCCAAAGCTTAGCTTTGTACGTGGGACTTAGTGGGTATCTAATAATTGTTGATGAAATAATGATTTAAAAAGTGTTCTAAAAGCAACCAATACATGTTTACTTAAAACAAGAAAATACAGGGGTGTCTGGGTGGCTCAGTCAGTGAAGCATCTGACTTCAGCTTAGAGCTGGAATCCTTTTCTGATTCTGTCTCCCTCTCTCTCTCTGCCCCTCCCCCATTTGTGTTCTCTCTCTCTGTCAAAAATAAATAAACATTTAAAAAAGAAGAAAAACCAGACATCATCACAGACTACTGCTAGCAGGTCCCAATCCTGGTCAGGAACACTTTTAGAATGTCCATTATCGGGGCGCCTGGGTGGCTTAGTCGGTTAAGCGTCTGACTTTCGCTTAGGTCATGATCTCGCGGTTCGTGGGTTCAAGCCCCGCATGGGGCTCTGTGCTGACTGTCAGCTCAGAGCCT